TCCTTGAATAAGACGCCCTTCAGTTTTTAGGGTAAGGATTTTAGAAAAAAGTATCGTCTTATAGTCGGAAAAATACGGTAATTGCCAAACTGCAATCTAGAACTGATCTGAAGGGTCCTGTGAGTGGTCTAGCTCTGAAACAGGCCTGTTTCATTCAGAACTCCATGATATCTCAAAGGTTCCCTTCCTTTATCTATGTGCTTTGCACATCCATAGCAGTAACAGTTTAAGTTACAAGCAGTTTGAACTGCTTCACATCAGAAAAGAAAAATGGGAATGAAGTGCTTTCAAGACAATGTCTAAGAGTAAATAAATTCCTGAAAGGCAAGGTCTAGGAAGAATTTCTAGGCCCTAATGTTAGATCATGCCCTTAAATTAAGGGTGAACAGTGTCCAGTACTGAAATGCCTTCGGTACAGCTTCCAGAGCCCCTCCAAAAGATGTCAACATACTGAAAGTTTTAATGTGTCCTACTGGTAAATTATTAAATACACAGTAAATAATTATACTATATTAATTAAATTAAATTTGAACAGATTTAGTTTTTATCCTGGCTTTATTGATTTCTTTGTCCTTATCCTTGGCTCATAAAAGATTGCATACTAGTGCCTTAAATCCTAGGATGTCCTTGTAAAGGTTTTTTATTCTTTCCCCTTTTTACTTTCTTAAAAATTTTGCTCATGCTCACTACTGAGATTACAATAGTCTGTGGCCAACTAATCTGAAATTTATTGTATGAATTTGAATGGTAGTTCTGACTCTAATTATATTAAATAAAGATTATTGCAATGATACTATTCATTGCTACATTTATAAATAATTACTTTAGGTAAATTGTCCTTTGCATTTTAGAGCTTTTTCACATTCACCAGAACCTCCAGAAAAGCCCCCTCTGAAAAAGGTAAGAATTTGTTTTAAAATACTATGAAATATGCAGTACGTGTATAATGTTAACACTGAATACTGTTTGAGCTCAATTGGATGTTGTAGTTGACCTGAATTTATATGAGGGACTTCTCAATCCAAATGATTTTCATTTACTACTCTACCATTCTACATATCATGTATTGCAAGATGTAATACCTTTTTTTAAGTAAATTGATTCTATATATGAGAATTGTGTCAAATTGAACAGCAGTTTAAGATGGATTTACACATTATTTTAAACATGATATCCTAGTTGTTTCTATCATGAGTTTTAACACATCCAGACTGATAGCCATTTGAATCACAAAACAGTGGATTGTGTGTGTGAGTATACATAAATACACAGATACACACATATAAACACACACTCACGCACGCACACACACACACACATATATGTTATCAAGTGTATAGTCCAGAAGCCATTTTAAGTATTACTTTCTTTATTGAAGCTAGTCCTCTTTTAAGAGTTGGATAAAGAGCAAAAAAAAAAAAAAAAGGAAAATGAACCTTGCCATGCTGAAACATTTGTTTTAATCCATGTAACATGGGTGTACGGTTATGGCTTTTTTTAAGAGTCAAAAACCTTAGAGGCATCAGCTGCAGGGTTAGAATGGGGGGAAAAGCATTGAAAGTAGCAACAGCAATGGTAGTAGTAGCAGTTTGTATGGGTATATCAGAAGTCAGCAATTTTTTCAGGCACCAGGCAAAATTACAAGATTCTCTGTGAAGGTGCAGCACCAAAAGCAATAATGCAAAACAACAGCAACAAAAACCTTGTATGTCTCTCTGTGTGTGTCTGTGTGTGTTCTTCCCATAGAAGCGCAAAAGATTTTGGTATTCTGTGAAATGTCATGATATTTTCAAATTCTTGCTAAAAATCTTGTAAGTTTTCATCTTGTAAATTTTCAGACATTTTCAGATACTTTCAGATAAAAAAAGTATGGTGAAATCTGACATTCATCAAACTTGGGAATTGAAACCATTTTTTAAAAGAAAAAAATACTTTTGGAATCCCACTGATGGCATTTGGTCTATTATCGGTGATATGATGGGGTTGAGTTTTACATGATCAGCGCCTGGGTTGTGTACTAGAAAAATTAAAATGCAGAGTAAACTATTAATAAAAAGTAACATAAAATTAATTTTAAATGCAAAGTGCAGCTTTATTTTATAGTTTTCTCTTTTTAAGAGAGGCATATATAGACATCTTTTTCATCCTTTCTTGTTTTTAAAAGCTTGTGTTTATTCTTTTCAACTTACGGGATTATTGCAAAGAAGTAAAAAATGGTGAGACTATATTTATTTCTCTGAAAACTGAAAAGAACAAGACCAAATTTGGGGTAGTGGAGAAACTGGCAAAAAACCCCAGATTGAGTCTGAGAATAGATCAGTTGAAGAGAATAGGTAGAGAATGTGTAGCTGTGGAGTCCTTGGGGTTCTCTGAGCTTGGTTGCTCAGCGGACCAACCCCAAGGACTCCACAGATCAGATGAGGCTGGAAACCAAAGACAAAAGGATTATGGAAAAATTCCCCCAGTAGATCCCTATGAGGGGGCAGTTGGGCAGTTCCTTGTCTTGTTGGCAGCTCTTTTATTGTAAGCCCTTCCTTGTGCCTCCCGGGCATATGAACCAGCACAGAACATAAGCAAGCACTCCCATGCTTCATTGCACACACACACACACGCATCATGTTCCTTCATTACCCAGCAGAAAATACTGGCCATTGCTGGTAAGGAGATTAGAAACAATTCCAGAAGCTGTACTCGCCATGCCTTCCTTATCTTGTTTTAAAAAAGTTAGGATGGAGTGACTGAACAAGGCCTGGCTTTCTGATGAAGGTAACTCAACAGTCATGTATACTCATTCCATTCTTCCTCATGTTTTTTCAACCTCCAATTCATAAAATCTTCATTATTTGGAAAAGATTCTCGTTGTATGTAAATAATTTCAGATTGTACCTAAGGGTAAGCCCCACTGAATTTAATATGAATAATTTCATTACTCTCTCAGTTGTTTTAAACTTGCATTTTAGTTGTCCGGTAAATGGCATTCTCATATTTAAAAAATCACATCCAAAGATTTGTTTTTAAATTTTGTATTTTTAACCAAAGCTTTGATATATAGAGTAGCAAAAACATAGAATCATCTTGGTTTTATACATTAAAACTTTATTTACCTAGTTTTTTCACATTTGTGGTAAAGTAAAAACCATAAAACAAATAAAAAAGGCTTTAGGAGGCAGAAATAGGGATTTATTTACATGTCATTCATGTATAGTAGAATATTATATGTCTCTCTGTATACCGATATAGATGTATATGAGAATTAATTCGGTGAAAATATGTGCTGGTGAACATGTGTGCGTAACTTAACTTACTGATAAGTAGAAAAGGGATATAATATTTTAAATATTTTAGTTAAATTTAAGACAAAATTGTACGTCATTATGGATTATATACTTTTTATCATTTTGATGAAGCCTCCAGTTGCTGTGGACACTCACGCTAAAGAAACCCTATCCTTGGGCTTATCCCTGAACATAGAAAGGGTACTCCATTTTCTTATAACAGCCTGAGACTTTGGGACAGGAGGAAAATGGGGAGCCTGCTGTTATAAGAGATAAAGGTTTCACCACCATTTATGTATTTGTTTGTTTATTGCATTTAATAGCAGTCAAATAATTGAATGATAAAATCACAAAACAATGCACAACATAATAGCAATAAGATACACAACAATTAAATAACAAGTATCAAAGATTGCTCAGTATGTAAATGTAACTGGGATGCTCTCTGAAACAGTCTGATCTTTAACATCTTCCTGAAAGCCTTCGAAGAGAGTGCCAGTCTGATCTCCACCAGCAGACTATTTCAAAGCACAGGTGCTACTACTCAGAAGCAGTGCCTTCTGGTTTGGCTCCCCTGATCTCCTGGAAGTGTGGGTCTACAAGGAGTTTCTCTGTAAACTGTTTCATAGGTCAGGTTGATTCAGGTTGGAGTAGGCTTTGCGCCTCAGTGCTGGGGCGATTGGGCCTCATGTCACAGGGCTGGGGTGGCCGTGGCTTCACACTGCAGTGCTGGGGGCAGCAGAGTGCAGAAAGGCAGGTGGGGTTTGTTGAAGTGCACCCTGCTGTCATAAATGCAGGTAGGTGGGCTGCCAGGTACCCAAATTTTGATCATGTAACTGCAGGGGCACTCCAACAGCCGTAACTTCGATGACTGGGTGTAAATACCATTCATTCAGTGCTGTTATAAATTTGAACAGTTGCTGAACAAACGGTCATTAAGCAAGGATACTCTCTTATTTTCTAAATCATAAATTCCTAACAAAGGAAAGAGATGTGCTATGTGTTGTGATTCTCCAGTCCACTACTCATTGTTAAACAATCACCACTGGACTATGAGTACAAGTTAAAGGGATCATGGAGAAACAAAATCACATATGATTTTATTTTATTTTATTTTATTTATTTTTTATTGCCTTCAAGTCAGCGTTGACTCCTGGTGACTGCCTGGAGTAGTCCCTGCAGTCTTCTTGGCAAGGTTTTTCAGAAATGGTTTGTCATTGCTTGCTTCCCAGGGCTGAGAGAGAGTGACTGGCCCAAGGTCACCCAGTTGGCTTCATGCTCTAGGCAGGACTAGAACTCATGGTCTCCCAGTTTCTTGTCTGATGCCTTAACCACTACACCAAACTGGCTCTCACATATGATAAATCCTACAATAGTAAATATTTTATAAACAATGCCTTTTTAGATCTGCACTACTTTCTGAATCACTAACAAAAATATCTGTTGTATGTATAATAATATCTCAGCCAGAATCAATCCACTGCAGGATGAAGGTCTTCTTCACTGAAGGTTATGGAGCATAATCTTCCAAGCTGGTCCAGTGCAGGTTGGTAGGTTTGGTAGATAGATGTTTTTTGACTTCCCGATCTAGGACTGAGAGAGAACGATTGGCCTAAAGCCATCTGGCCAACCTCTGTGCCTAAGAGAGAACTAGATCCTGGATCTCCCCACTTGTAGTCCAATATCATAACCTCTACACCACACTGGCTCTGAGAGAGAGAGGGAGAGATCGAGAGAGATCTGAACCCAAAATAAATAGATCCACCATTTTGGGATTTTTTGTATTTGTTTCAGCCTCCTGGAGAAGCACCTAAACAAGGACATCGCGTTCTGACTCCCATGCAAGTATCAACACAAGGAGAAGGAGATAGGATTTCTGTTTTTTATGCAAAACCTGAGAAAACAAGTCATGGAAAGGCTCCTAGACCGCTGTCTCCCAATGATGGTAACATGACATAATGTAGATGGTGCCTAAGATTTCAAAATGACATTGGGTCTTTCCCCACTTGCACCTAATTGTGGCACAGATTTGATCTGGCAATATCGTTTTTTTGTTGTGTCCCCATGATGATTCGTTAATCATGTCCCCAGTCACAAATAAGACAGGGTTAAGTCATCCTTAGGTATACTGGTATTAAAGTGGTGTTTTCCCCTTATTCCAACCTGAAGATACATGAAGTTATATACAGTCTATTAAACTTTATCACCAACATTTTGGAGGGAAATCAAATGTCAGTAGCGATTGGGAGCAGAGACAATAGATATAAGTTACGGACTGCCAGTGAAGACAGCAACTTTCATGCCAATATTCTTTTTGCCAACTCAGGGATGGGTGGACAGCATTTCAACACAGCAGTGGGAAAAGGCCCTTTATATTTATAGCTGTATATTCTTCTTATGCTGCTGAAATGAACATAATTGGTGCTTACACCAAACTATTTTACTTAAATTGTATATGACAGTAATTGCAAATCAATGGTATCCAAATGCAAGTTTCATTTTAAAAATTTGAAATTTAGCTCTAGGAGCTCAACAGAAGAACTTGCTCTTTAAGAATATTAATCCTTTTTCCATACCTCTCTAAACTATTTGCCTTAAAATCAGTTGTTCAAAGAAAAAGCCTCAAAATTTACACTTAGCGTAGGCATCTCTTCCCTGAGCCTAAACAGTTACTTAGAGCTACAGACTATGTTGATTTAATTCTACTTCATTCCCAAAACAATGTAACATAACAGTTCTTTAAGAATTGTGTAGCAAAAATTTCTTATTATATTTTGCACAACATGGGTAGACAGTTCCTTCAGACCCTTCTCATTTGCCATTGAAATTTGGCAGTAAAACACATTGCCAAATTTCAGTTATAAACTGCTTGGATCCAGTGTTCAGTTACTTCAAAGTATTGGAGCTAAGGTTAGGAAAAGGAACTTGACAAATGAAAAGTATCCATTTTAAGATTTAAAGATGCATTAAATTAAAACTTCAGATATATTTTTGAATTGTTTATATTTTAAAATGTTCTCATTTCTTTGGAAACAGCCCATCTAATGACTATATGATTATGTATTTGTGTTTAATGTACAATTATGTTAAAAAGTATTTACTCCTTTCTGGATTTTCTGAATTTTTGCATATCTTTGCTGCTGATTGTTATCAAAATTACATGTGAAAAGGGAATTTGAGTGAACAAATAACCCCAAGGTTTCAAATTTGTTTCATTTTTCATAAACAGAGTAATCTGACATGTAATTTGTCAGAGTGAAAAAGTAAATCCTCCTCCTTCCAGTTTGTTTGATTTAGTTAAAGGGTTAAGTAGGACCAACAAGTATTTCAATAAACCGTCAGAGCTGATTTGATCCAGCCTCACTCTGTATATATCACACAAACTTTGATTTTTCCTAGTGGCACATATGCCCACTCAGAAGAAATTTCTGAAGACCTCCGTAGAAATAGCATTGATATCTGTCTGTCTGGAAGAAATTACGAAATCATACATGAAGCTTTAGAGTCCACCAGTCTATAGTCAGAGACATAGTTGTGAAATGGAAAATATTTGGAACAATAGGAAACAGCCATCCTGTCAAAATTTCTCCAAGAGCACAGCATAAAATTGTCCAGGAGGTCACAAAGAACCCCAGAATAGTATCCAGAGATCTGCAGGCTTCTCTCACCTTGGTTAAAGTTAGTGTATATGACTCCAACATCGAGAAATGAAAAATGGGATTCATGGGAAAGTAGCAAGACAGAAGTCATGGCTCACAAGAAGGACATTAATGCTCATCTCAAGTTTGCCAGAAAAAAAACTGGATAACTCTCTTGTGAAGAAATGTTCTATGGACAGATGAATCAAAAGTGCAACTTTTCGGGCTACATGAGGTTATGGCTGTTAGAAACCAAATATGGCATTCCAAAATAAGAATCTCATACCACCTGTCAAGCATAGAGGTGGTAGGGTCATAGTTTAGGGAAACTTTGCTGCTTCAGGATCTGGATGATGTGCCATTATTTAAAGAAGGGTGAATTCTGTTTGCTTCAGACAATTCTAAAGAAGAATCAGGTCATCTGTCTACCAGCTGAAGCAGAAACTCAGGTGGGTCATTGAAGAAGGTAGTGATCCGAAACATACTAGTAAGTCTACAAGAACATGGATAAAGAAAAACAAATTGTCTTGGAATAACAATATCAAAGTCATAAAACCCATGCAGATGTTACGGCGGCCCTGAAGTGAGTGGTTCATGCTAGAAAACCTTCAAATGCTACTGAAATTAAGCAGTTTGCCATGGAGAATGGGCCACATTTCCTATTTAGTGATGTGAGGGACTGCACACCAGTTACAGCAGACATTTGGATCGCAGTTATTGAAGCTAAGAGTGGTACAACCCCTAGCTGAATCTAAGGAGACAATGTCTTTTTCACACTTGTACATCACATGTTAGAGGACTTTGTTTATGCAATAAATGAAACAAGCACCAAGCTTTCATGTTGTTTGTTCGTTCATTCCCTTTATGTCTCAGTAGATCCACATGAAGAGAGCCAGTTTGGTGTAGAGGTTAAGGCACCAGGCTAGAAACTGGGAGACTGTGAATTCTAGTTTCGCCTGAGACACAAAGCCAGCTGGGTGACCTTGGGCGAGGCTCTCTACTCAGCCCTAGGAAGCAGGCAAGGGCAAACCACTTCTGAAGATCTGGCCAAGAAAACTGCAGGGACTTGTCAAGGTTTGACTTGACTAGAAGGCACCCAATAAATAAATAAATAAATGACCCACATGAAGCCTGGATAATATTTAATGGCAAAAAAAAAAAAAAATCAGAAAATTTGGACTGAGAATAATTCTTTTTCACAGATGTCTATAAAGCTGATTCATAATGCAGCTGTATATTGTTGTGTAGAGATTTCTAGTAATAATACGCAAAAGAACAAAAGAGAAATAGTTCATGTTCCAGTTGTAAAAGCTTAAGCATGAAAGAAAGCTCAAACACCCCTCATCACAGAAAATACTCAGATGAAGTTGTGGAAGAATTGAACATTTTACTGGTTTGGGTAGGTAGAGAATTTTATTCTGAGGAAAGATGCTGAATTAAAGCTGGAAGTTATAGATTGAGACAGCTTTGATTGCTATTTTTTTCAGTAACTTTACAATTGCATGATAGGCAAAAAATGGTAAAGCCTTTAACAACATTATACCTGCTGGTTTGGGAATGTAAGTTGTTAAGAGAATACTATCCCTATCAGTAAATAAATCAACCCAAGAGTACAAAAATTTAGATAACTATGTCAGAAATGTAGCTGTAGTGGGACAACAAAGTGGGCAATGCTGAAGTATTACTGATCCTTAAAAGTCTCAGATGACACCACCTAAAATATTGTAATATTATACTAATGCTGTAGTATAATCACAATATCAAAAAAATAACTTTGTTTAAAATATGTACTTTTCTAATAGGTATTTTCCTATTGTGATGAATGTATGCACCTTACTTTCACTGGTACATGCACTTTTCTGTGCTTTTTTTATTATATTCATTTTTGTTCTTTGTTTTTAAAAAAACAATTACAAAAGTTAAAGGATTAGTTCCTTTTTTGTCCATACTGGTTTAGGTAGTGTAGATTGGATCAATTTGCCTTGAAATACAAATTGAACCCACACATATATAAAATATAGCTGCACAGCTTATAGCAGAAGGCTGAACATGTAGTAATTCAAATATTTCTGTTATTTATCAATCCTTGCAAAGTTGAATAATATCTCCTTTTACTTACTCATTTACTAATAAGGATTAATACAAAAAATACTATTTTCAAAACTATTATTAGGCGACTGTTGCTTAAAAATAAGGTTCAGATTTCTGTTGATAAAGCTTAGCAAAAACAATTATTTTTCATCTATAGATAAATATTTGTAGAATGTTTATTAGTGGTTCCATAGGGTAGGATAAATTGCTTTTCTTTAATTGATTCATTTTCAGGGCATAGTGTCTATATAGCTCGAAAATCCCCAAGAGAAATTGAAGGGGCTCATCAGATTCAAGAAGACAAAGATGTTCAAGTGGAAATACCCATTGATCAGGTAGGTTTAAAGTAGATTTTTCCTGAATGAATTTATTAGAACTCTGATTCCTAGCTGCCTATGTTTGCTTTCCTTTCAGGGCTGTTAAGAAAATTAAAACATTCCTGTACCAGACCCAATTTTATGGAAAATCTTGTCACCTGGGTCTCCATTTCAGATCTTAAGTTGCAGACAGCTTAACTTTTTTGGGGGGGAGGGGTGTTTTTTTTAAGTGAACATAAATGGTAATAGACACCAATATTAATATGTATACTAAAAAAAAAAAGTCTTGCCGTATCTTCAGAAATAAAATACTACTGATGTGAACATCTTTAGAAGTCTCTGACTTTGTAAAGATTCATCTGTGACCTTGGCACTTTTATATACCTATTGGAAAGTTGGCCTAGTTCTAGTTCAAGACTCTTGAGTGCTGACTTACATAATCAGAAAATACTCAAAGTCACGCCTTGCTTAGTTAAGATGATTTCCAGATGGATGACTTTTGTACCTAGTCTAAAGATGCCATGCAGCTATTCCTTCTTCCCTCTTTAACTGATTTTCTCAGGTAAGAAAAAAAGTCAGAAGTGACAATGGAACTATATAAGTAAATTACAAATAAAGGATGTCATTGTTTAGACTTTATAACATTCTGCAAATGAGGCAGGACAGTTGCACAAACATCTCAAATGGAAGCACTCATAATTGTTGCTTGCTTTGAAAAAGATCATATATTTTAGTGTTATTTTAAAGGTATTACTAACCATTACGATTGTTAAGGCATTTCAGAGTTTTGCAGTTCCATGTGGTGTGAAGTACCTCTTTTGAATTCTTTGCACATCTGTATTGGATATGATTCATATTTGACAAAAATAAAATTTGTATCTTCTTGTTTTAGAGTCAGGCTAAATTAACAGATCCTGTAGATTTTTAACAGTGAACCTACAGTGTTTTCATTAAGTTAATTTTGGGTTTTACCAAATCAAGATTTTAATTGTAAGTAGAAGTCTTTAAAAAAAATTTAAAGCCTTTAAGGTAGAATGATGGAGAAGACAGAGGATGAAATTTAATAGTATATACTTGCCAAGAGGCTGTGCATTTTTAATGGAACAAACTTCAACAGTATGTATCCCCAAAATCTTCTCCGTAGAAATGGGGAGAAAGTGCTTTTGTGTGACTAAATGCCTGCTTGTATGACAGAGCTCAGAATCCGGAGTGCTGTTTATTCTGTGAAACTATTAAAAAGTGGGATTTGGAGACCCTTAAAGCAAATGTTTCAGAAGAGGAAAATATAGGGAAGTAGCAGCAAGAACTCTGGTTAGAATTCTCCAGTTCATTTGCATACATGTGTGAACAGAACCAAGACAGTTAAGAGTCTCCAGAGAGCTTTGTTTAAGATCCAAAGGAATGAATCAAGTTTACTAAGGAAGCTTCATACTTCGATAAAATGTGTGCTTCTCCTGAGTTTTCTGTCCTCGTGCTGACAAAAAAGAAAGGAAGCAGGCAGGCAGGCAATATTCTATCTATAGGGGACAAACTGAAAGGAAGAGACTAAGAGGATAAATATTCCAGTCAGGAGGAAGTAGAACAGAAACACAGAGTAATCTCTTGCTTTCTCTTACCGGTCAGTAGGATAAAAACTCCAAAGAGTTATTTATTGCTGCTGGAGCAACATCTTGAAAAACACGTGCCTGCTTTCTAGTATTTAGGTACAGTTTCTATATGATCAAGGCAGTAGCTACAAAGAGAAAAATATTAAGAGATTAAATGAAACATACCATCTGAAGCAGAAAAAGTTGTGTGGTACCTTCTGAAATGCTAGAAAACCAAAATTTAAAAATGTGTAACATCTATTTGTAGGGTTACTTTATCTGGATTGCAAAAATGCAGAAAATGACAAGATGGCAGCAAAGAGGGGTGTTCATATCTTTGCTGCCATCTACTGGCCAGGTATGGTTATGCCTCCTATTTCAAAGAAGCTGCAACATACAGTATATTCTCTATTTTCTTGGACTTCTACTGATTGTCTAGTTTCCTGGGCTTTTGATTGGCCATTGTTAAAGGGAGAGTGTTAGAACAGAAAAAACTTTTTCTCATCAAGCATAACCAGCCTTACTTTTTAATATAAATTAGCTGCTACCTTTTTCTCAGCAGAGAAAATGAGACATATTTTCATACTGCATTTTGTACTTCTCACGCAATTGTTTTAATTACAAGTGTTTGCTGAGGGGTTTTGTATGTGTATGAGTCAGCCTTGACTCCTGATGACTGCTTGGTTTCCTGGCAGGATTTTTGGAAGTGGTTTGCCCTTGACAAGCCATATTTTTCATGACATTTTGGTTAAAAATTTGAGGATCTGCTTATCTGCAGATGGACTTATTCATGAGTATATATGGGAAATACAGCATAAATGTATTTTAAAACGTACATTTATGTACTTGCAGATAAGCTCATCTGGTTAAGGCAAACCCAATTTTTTGGGTATATTTTGGCACTTGAAATTCTTGGTTTATCCGCAAGTACATATGGTATATTTCTGGCTGTACTGTTTGGATTATTGGCAATTATCCCAGAGTCACACAACCATTTTTATATTAAAATTATGTATGCTTTTATTATTGGCAGCTAGGACACAAATCCATATTGCTAGAAAGTAATAGATTTCTCTGTTCAAAAATGGCTTAACAGTGTCTGGGTCATTGCTTTGTCAGAAATCTGTTTTACTAAGCCATGATTATTAGAGGAATTAACACTTTGTGAGAAACCAAATCAGAATTACGGTACTAGCAGAATTAAGAGTCTTTTGAAGGAATCTACTTTCATTCTTTGCACATGTCAATGACTTTGTGTCCTGTCCTTTTTAGTTTTGTATAGCGTTTTCTCAAACGAATAGATTAGGAACAGCTCTTGTCTTTGAACAGAGAAGCTCCCTCAAATAATGTCAAACTTTTTTTGGGTCAAAAAAAGTCACTTTGCAGACTGGAAATGCAGTGCTCTGCTTACAGTTCAACTTGCTGTTATAGTACCATTTCATGCAACCTTTTTTTTTCTGACTTAAATTCTAAACTGACATTAAGATGTTCTATTACGACAAACCAAAAAAAGAGGTTAAACTTTTTTTAAAAAAATCTTCACATACTGTACATAAAGTATTTCAATGTCACAAATTATTTGAGGTTACTGAGATTTGGGCTTAGTTCTCATTCTGAAGCACAGTTAATATTGTAGTAGGAGAAACCATAGACGTAAAAGGTTTTTAATATAAAAATGAGCATCTCAAGCAACAATTAGGCTAGAATTCTTAGTGTCTTACATTTTTATGTATCGGATATATTTTAAGCAAAAATGCTTTCAAGCGGTCTTTTCAAGTTCATTTGCTATGCGTTGTAAGAACTGGACTTTAGATTTGCTTGAACAAAGTATAAAAAGCAGGTTTGAAAAGGTAAACAGCATGGCTCATTTTTTCTGATTGTGATAAAGTACTTCAGGAAGGCTTATATTTTATTTCTTTCTGATCATGGAAATCATAACTGGATTTTATTCTAATAAAGGCTATAGCTGAGGTTGTCCAGGACATGGAAATTTATTCATATCCTGGGATTACAATAAAACAGGTTAATTGTGTTACTATTTTTGCAACACTGGAGAACAATATAGGTATTTAAGTTCCAGTGCTTTTGAGGGAAATAAATCACTGCTTGATTTTTTTTCCTGATTTGTGATAAAATAATGTAGCGTAAATTTCATTTTACTGAATTCTGTTCATAAAACTCTTAACTGGACTTTATCCTAACCAAGGCTATAGCTGAGGCTATCCAGGATGAGAAAATGTATTTGCATCCTGGGATTAGAGAAGAACAGGTTAGTTTTGTTAACTGTTTTTCCAGCATTTGAAAGCAATATTTGTTATTTAAAATGAAATCTCAGGTATAAGCCCTTGCTTGTCAGTTTGCTAAAAGAAAAAAATATTGTGACATTTGCACAGGTTTTGTGTTTATATTTGTTACTTGAAAGAATTGAGTCTTAGATTTGCTACACAGAAAGTTTATTCTTCAGTAAGGGAATAGCTGACTGGTTTTTTCCTTATCTGTAATAAAAAGATGAAAGTTGTTTACTTTTGTTTATATAAAACTGAATTGGAATTTATGTTATCCGAGGTTCCAGCTGAGGTCATCCAGGATGAGGAGATTTATTCAGATCTTGGGAGTATAAAAGACCAGGTTTGTTTTGATTTGTTTATTTATTTATTTACTTTTATTTTTAAAGTATTGGGGAATAACATTAGACGTGTAAAATGAAATTCTGATTCTGACTTAAAGCTTTTCCATTTTAAAATAGAAAAACAATCCTAGCAAGGAAAATCATTTAGGACATTTCAGGTCTCGGCACCTGCATTTGCTGTACATAAGAAGCGGCCTTCAGGATCACTAACAAAGGGCAAAATGTAATTTTTTTTTTTTTTAATAACAGACAGAAGTTACTTTTTTCTAATTCATGGTAATGTAGGAAAACTTTGATTTATTTTCATATTTTATGCAAATATAACTAGAATTTATCTTACCAAGGCTCCAGCTGAGATTGTTCAGGATGAGACAATTGATGCTGAGAATATAGAGGAACAGGTCAGTTTTACTTTTGTTTTTTACAATACCAGAAAGCAAACGTTGATATTTAACATGAAATCTCAGTTTTGAGTGCTTGCTTCCTAGTTTGTTCAACAGAGAAATGAGCGTTAAATAACCAGAACTACTGATACGTGATAGTTGATCTGATTAACAGCTAAAAAAAAAATTACAGCACAAACATTTTGCCAGTCACTCCAGCTGAAGAGTAGCATAGCTTCGGGCAGATTGAGATCCATGTGTTCAACTGTTCAGTGGTTCAGTCATATTTATCATTTTGCAAGTAGGCACAATTGTATGGTTTCTATTTTTAATTTTCTTTCTGTATTTGATTTAAAAATATATTACACATTATGTTACCATTTCAATTTCATTTCTACCTTATTCAGCTTAACAGCGACTGTAAAGTATTGCACATATATGTATGTCTGTATGTATAGTAGCACAGAATAGCTCAGTCAGTGGTCTATGCAAGAGTTTGCTGTTTTAATCAGAATGGCAAAAATAGCACACACGTTTCACCCCTTTGGGGCATGCATGCAACATCACAACACGTAGAACAGGGGTAGGGCTTGCATCACAACACCGCCACACTGTTTTCATCAATCTGGCTCTCCTCACGTGGATGCATGGGGCTACATAATTCAGCTCTGGCAGATGGTAATCCCCTGAGGACACAAGCAGTCTCTTATGGAGAGCAAAAACACTGTGCTTACCCTCCAAATGATTTTACCTAGAGCAATTTTGACCATTGTCTCTCTGACCTTCCTCAAGTATCGTGAAAGATAGGGGAGGGGAGGCAGATAGTGGAAAGCAGCCTGCAAACAGACACGTTGCTTCTTCTGGTAGGGCTTTGGCGGAACTCCAGATCTCACTCCCTGAATTTTCTTTGAAAAAGCAAGACCTTCACGAGTTTCTTGAATACCCCGAGTGAGGGGGTATACTTGGTAGGAGGGAATTCCACAGTAAGGGGGAATGTGCAGAGAAGGTCCGCCTCCAGACCCCTACTGTCACACCTAAGTGGGGGTGGGCACTCTTAGCAGTTCTCTCTGCAAGTACATCTTGGGCAGGTGGATAGTATTTGGAGTAATGGTTTCACCAATAACTAGGCCCCAAGCTGTGCGAGATTGTAAAGGTTGTAACCAGCACTCTGATGACACACAGTAATAAACCAGCAACCAAAGCATCTTCCACAGGACTGATGTTATATCACTGTTTTGGGCCATAGAGCATGAGCGCGAGTGCCTGAAGACACAAGGTTACTTTAGCTGTAATACAAGCTTCATTTAAACTGTTATTATTCTAACATAAATCTGTGTACTCTTCATTTTTGTTGCAAGATAATTTTTAAATACTAGTGACCCAGAATGTAGTGAAGAAACTAGCTTGTTCCTTGTAGAACCTATACTAGAATAAAACTCTACTCCGCTATAATGACTATGCATAAGATATAGCAAATGTTGTACATCTTAGATTTAGACAATAGAAAGCTGAAAAACTAATACTTACTGCTTTTTTCATGTAGGCAAAAGAAGGTGAGAAACTTCAGGTCAGTGTTAAGTATCTAATTTTTTCAGTCAATAAAACTTAACGAAATAGCAAAATCTGAAATACCTGAGTAGGGAAATTACTGACTTGCTTTTGCTTTATAGTCTCAGCATGTGGCTGAACTGGCATGGCAGCTAAGCAGGGTCCCTTTGGTTAGTACTCGGATGGGAGATTGCGTGGAAATCCCAGGCTGTAGACTAGGTTGGAAGTAAAAAGATATATCCTAGAAGAAGGCAATGGCAAGCTATTAACTTCTTATTCCCCTCAAAATTACATGGATATGTCACTAGGAGTCTAGCTCAACTCAAAGGGGATATTAATTTTCTTTGTTTATAGTAAGCATTTCTTCAAGTGAGTTAGTTTATTAAATCAGATGGTGAAACAGCTTATTTCATATTGCTTTGACCACAGAACAGAGAGAATGGAATCTTTTATATTATGTTTCTCACTTTTCCATATATTCAGCTGTGATTTCAGTCAGATTAATTTCACTATAGGGAAAAACTGGCTATATACAATAGAAGAAATAACTTGCAATCTTGCCTGGTCCGTTGCAATGTTCCATTGATATATGAGATTAGAGAAAGCATTGATAGGTTATTGAGGAAATAGTTCATCAATTTTAGCTTCTACTGTGAAATCCTTGTTTTTCTTGTCTAATATTTATAATATATCAAAATTGAATTGAAGCTAGTGCCATGATGCAAATAAAATAAAGGCTTTCTCATTGTTCTTTAAAAATTGTAATTTTTACACAGCCTCAAGTTCAGTCATTCCTTCAGAATATTTGGAATAAACAACAACATATTTTTCGTAGTTTTGAATAAACAGAAGATTTCTTTTAAAAAACCTAACTCAATGGTCCTGTCAAAAAGATAACTAAAGGTTTCATTCTCTGATAAAATTACTTTCCTTCTGTCAAGATTCAGTTTTCAAATGAGAGACCATTAGGCCCTGACATGAATTATAGTCCTTCCTATTTACCTAAGTGCTTAAATTTTCCTATATTATCTATAAAGTTATATATCTGTACAACATTTGCTTTGGCAACAGTTACAAAGCATTTGCTTCTATTGGATTAAGCAAGGTATGTGGTTTAAATACTTGCAAAGATCCATAGGAATAATTTATTACTATTGATTATTTCAGCAATCCACTATCAGTGGAAGAGTACTTTTTAATTAATAATGCCAAATCTGTCAATAAAGTACATATTGCTTGATGAAGCATTTTGTCTCCCACTGAAATTGTGTGACTTTAAAAAATTAAATCTATATTGATTTTCTAATTGGTTTTCCATGCATTACCCACAAAATCCTTTTAAGTGAATATCTCTGCTTGCTTTCCTGATACAACTTAGTGCCTACAGTTACATACAGTATTTTAGAACTCCTATGAAAGATTATATGACATTATTTCACTAGAGTTGTTATGCATCAGCTGCAACCTGAAAGAGATGTATAGAAATAACTTGCAATTAAAGTTTTTTAATCTGGGGCTGCAGCTCTGCCTACAATGGGATTTTTGGCACAGTCCTACACATACCTACTCAGTAGCAAGCCCTGTTCAGTAGGCCTTATTCCAGAGTAAGTGTGTACAGGATTGCAGCCTTAGAGAGCCTAGTGTTTTGCAAAAATAATGGATTTTAAACAGATCAGATGTATGCAAGATAACACCCTAGGACTTTTATCTGAATGCCTGTGTAAGTGTTAAGAAAATTACTGGAAGAATTTTCAGTAGTACTTCATGTAGTATCATGAAGGCTAATATGTTTGAGAAATATTTATGCTGAATATAAAGTATGTCTGGATATAAACATTCCCAAAGATTTCAAAGTAAGTTTTTTAGTATACATGATCAAAAGAAAATTTATTGAATCCCACATTTAGTTCTGCTGAATTAAAAAAAAAAGAATTTAATCAATTTTTAAAAGTTTTTAGTTCCTTGGGTTTAAGGAATATCATGCATTCTTTTATTCTGCGTTTAATGTGTATAACTGTTCTCAAACAATCACATCTTGCCTTCCTAGTCAATCTCTTGCAATCCCACTCAATATATTTCAGTTCTTTGCATTAATCATTTCAGTTCTGAAGAACAGAGACTATTATATAATAAGTGTATGTTGTCTTTGACAAAAGTGTACGTTGTCTTTGTCTTTGACAAAAGAATGACAAAAGTTAGCATTATTATAAATCGTAAACAAACTATAAGAATACCTTGTTTAGCACATTAGGAAAATAGATGTATTACAGCAATGATTACAGTGACATATGTGAAACATACTAAAATGTCATAGGGATTGGAGTTGCTTGATTTTTCCGATCTGTAGGGTAGTCCGTTGCCTTTTCATTGCATTTAAATAAAATCTATTAAAAACTATAACTGTAATCATGCCTGTGTTTCCTTTCCTCACATGTTATCATTTCCAAAGACATCCCCAGAATCAAAGACTTTCATCAAAAGGATGAAAGCAGCAGCACCCCATTGCAGCATAAGCTCCACCTTCTTTGTACGCCCATGGGATGTCATGACACCTGCACAACGGCGGCAGAGCTTGTGTTCCGATAGCTCAATGCTTCTTTCATCATTCCCAGCCCCCTTGGCCACAGATGCTTCTGCCTTTTTCCTACATCCTTCCTTTCCCCACAAGGAGACTCTTCTCATTTCTGCTCATCCATAAAAACGCTATCTATACAATAAGCACAAACGGGCATTTGTGTTTACAGCGCTGAATGGCATGAGAGCAGATAGAGGACTTAGCGAGCTGATATAAATCATACCAAAAAAAGGACTTTAATATTAAGGCTTAGCACAGTATAAGGCACGCGTATCTTAATCTGCCAGCCCATCTGGTTAGCAAAATCTGGTGTGGCACTTTTTTGGCCATGTGCCAGCATGGTCAGGCAGTTGTGTTGACCTGCCAGCTTGACTGTAGCTGTTACTTTCTTAAGCCCGTCTGTTGGGCAGTTTCTGGGGCATTTTAGCTGTCTACCTACCTGGTCTGGCTACCTGCTCTGCCTCATCCCGCCACTTGGGTAGATGGCTGCCATGCCAGCTCCTTGGACTAAGGCCTTGAGATTCACCCCTGATTCTTTTGCATTCTCCCGTTTTCAGTTCTTAGGCTGTTCCATACCTCTGGACCCTGAAAACAGGTTCCAAAAGGTTCCAGTAGTGTAGCTATAGGTGAGATGCTAGGGTATCCTGTCTTCCTGATATTTTTCTTCCCCTGGCGTTTTTACAACACAGGCTGGTACTTGAAAGTGCTCTTAATAAGAACAGTTTAACTATCTCCTAATGTTTTGGGGTCTCCCCCCTTCATGAACTTTTAAACTGACTATAGTCCTAGGCTCCTGCTTTGTGTGAGATTAGGTGCTCCTTTCTGCCACACTGCCACAAAAGAGCCCCCTGGGTAGTGACTAACATGGTATTTCTTCACATTGCCCAGGCTGTTCATATCTGAAGCACCTCTTTGTAGAGGGTGTAGCTTCTGTTCCTTTCTCTAGTTCTGTGAGACTAATTTTGGAAAGTCCAAAACACTTCCAGAATGATCAAAACACCTACTTTACACTTAAATTTCTGACTCAAAGCACTTGTGTTCAAAGTGGTACAAATTCAAAACATTTTCTACATTATTGGAAAGGCTGGGATCCATGTGAATTCAAAGAAAAATAGTATGTTTGTTACCAGTTGACCCAGCCCTCCTTACCATGGTCTTCTGGAACATCTGCCGATTCTCAGGAACGGATCTAGTGTGGCTGCAGAAGTTTCAGCAGATACAAGATGCAACCATAGTGTGTTTGTGTGTGTGCGTATGTGTGTGTGTGTATAGATAGATAGTATTATATAATATTAATGGTAATAGTATATTGTTATATATTATATTATTAATGTGTAATATTAATATTATATTGTATTATATATTTATATTGAAATATATATGTATATACACATACATACATACATACACACATATATTGTGTGTGTGTGTATACATCTCTACAATATATAAACCTTGCTATTCCACAGTTATGACTTTCTTGTTCTCTAATGGGTGATTTCTGTTGCAGGAGAAAAAAGGTGTTTTCAAAAAAGTGTTTGGATTCTTTTTCAGTAGATCAAAGAAAACAGGTATGTCATATTTACTGTTTCAACATCATACATGCCTTCAGACAACAGCATATAACGCACAGTTGATCAAGCATTATTACTGCATTCTTAACATCAACAATGGATAATGAGATAGATGCTTAGGAAAATTTCACAAGCAGGAAAAAAGTTATATTCTCTTGGCTAATTTCAAAGTTAAATATTGCGAGATTCAGGACAGATCCAGTGCCTTTTGATACAGCACATAGTTAATTTGTGGAATTTGCTGCTTCAAAATTTAGTGATGGCCAAAAACTCTGTATGGACTTAACTAGAAGTAGACAAATTGAAAGAGAGTAAGGCTGTCATTGACTGATTTTTTTCCTTCCTTCCTTCCTTCCTTCCTTCCTTCCTTCCTTCCTTCCTTCCTTCCT